TATCCGGAACTGTCAAAGTTAAGAGCCAGATTTCTCAAAGAGCCGGAACTCTCAATCGACAAGTGAGAAAAAGGACTTAGAACATAATCTAAGTCATGTTTGAAGGAATTCTATTTGTTGCCTGGGAAAAATTATCTCGTTGAAAATCAAACGGCTAGATTGAGGATAATTCAACTAATTTGAGAACAAATGACAAGAAGACAAAGTGTGGACTCCTCTTATTAAAGAGCTACAGTCCAGAAATCTCAAACAACAGCTAGAAGACAAATTATATGACAAAGGAATCTCTCTTCAAGAAAAGCTTATGTCCAAAAGGAAACTTCCAAGGACAATCCTCACGCTCCCTTCATTCAAATTGAGGCCAAAAAACGTAAGGTTAATCTATTCCCTTCAACGGATAGATTAAATCATCCAGCCACCTATATATAGCTCCTACGGAAGATTGAAAAAAATATATAGAACACATTTGAAAATCAGCAAGAGAGAAAAAATTCTTAATGCTTGAGAAAGAGAGAATTCAAAAACTCCCTTATCAAGAAGCAAACTTCTCCTTCTTCCAAAGAGCTATAAGTGAAAATACTTGAAGGTTCCCTTACCTCAAGTACAACACCAAGTTGAAGAAATCTTTAATCAAACTTCTTGATTAAAAACGGGCACGTCAGTTTTCATACAAGCTGATCTTGCAAGTCCTATTGTTCGGATCTTGCAGTTGTTGAAGAAGCGTGACCTTTGAAGGAACAACACAACCATCACATGTGAAGTAGCAATATTTGTTTTGCGAAGATATACCACGCTTTCACTATTGTAATTATTGGTTCACTTTCAACAACCAATTACCTAGTGGATTCTGAGGACGTAGAAGGATTACCCCACCTTCGAACCTCGTTAAAGTTTGTGTGTTTCTCTCTCTCTCTCTCTCTAAAGTTTTTTTGATTATCTTAAACTGTGAAACTAACTTATCCATATTTGATTACTGCTCCAATAATCCACCAACTTCCGCACAGTTAGGGGAGTGTATTCAATTTGGATTTAAAAAGATTTTGATAGATTCTTTAAAATTCATGGATTATGTAAATTCATTGGATTGTTTTAAATTTACATAGAGTTAGCTAGATTCTAATGTATTCTATCATAAGATTTTATAGGATTATTTTTTTCTTTTTTTCTTTTTTTTTCTTTTCTTTTTTCTTTTTCTTTTCTTTCTTTTTTTTCCTCCTTCCCCAAAAACCCTAGCTGGAGTAGCCGCTTCTTCCATTTTTCAAGAATGAGTCGCCGCTGGGGAAGGATGAAACGCCGCCGGGGAGAGCATCCGGGGAAGGATGAGTCGCTGCTGGGGAAGGATGAGTCGCCGCCGGGGAAGGATGAGTCATCGCTGGGGAGAGCATCCGGGGAAGGATGAGTCGCCACCGGGGAAGTATTCAAAGCGAGAATCCGAAGAATGACTTTCGTTTGCTCTGCCACATCGATGCTGCCGCGGCGTCATCGGGAACAGATCCAATTCGAGAAACCGCTCATCAAACGGGATGCCAGATCCAATTCCGCGAATCAGGATGCCCGACCAAAACCCTATCCAATATGAAGAAGACAACCCTCCGTTGAGAAGATGAGTTCTTAGGGAAGAAGGAGAAGAAGATTGATGGAAGGAGAAGAAGATTGGCTGAGAAAATCCACTGCCGAATGAGAAAAGATTGGCGGAGAATGGGGGTTTGGTTGGACTCTTGAAAATCCACTGGGGTTTGGTTGGATTTGCAAAAGACTTTTTTATTTATACTTCAAGCTAAAAATCCATCAAAATCCATTTTATATAACAATCCTTAAAAATCCATCAAATTTTCAATACCATTAGATTTAGAAAGACTTTTTAAAATCTCAATTGAATACCTCTAGATTTTAAATGATTTTTTAAAATCCCGATTGAATACCCACTGACTTTTAAAATCCAAAAAAATCCTGCAGAGTTTGGATTGAATACACCCCCCTTAATCTAAGTTCTCAAGAACTTAAGATTAACTACTGTTTCTTATCAACTCACATGTTCAAAAAGAACAAAAAAGTTTTTAATTTGTAACAAAGTCTATTCACCCCCCCTCTAGACTTTGTAACTCACCACTTCGGGGACCATCAATTGGTATCAGAGCGAACTTCACACTATCTATTCTTAGATTAACGAGAAGTGATCAAAATGGTGAACAATATGGATCACGGTTTGCCCAAGTCTTCTCTTCTAGGCTATGATAATTGGAAGATCATGATGGAAGCACATCTAATGCTCTACATGACTGTATGTGGATGGTACTTGAAGAAGGGCCACTAAAAATTCAGATGGAGAACCCAGATGAAGTTCAGTACATAGACAAGCCCAAGGACAAATGGGACGATCGAGATTGCAAAAAGCACAACGTGGGCAACGTTGCAAAGGTAGTCATCTTCAAGACACTTGATCCCATCACCTTGTCTAAGATCAAACATCTCAAAAGTGCCATGGAAATATTGCAAGGTCTTGGAAAGTTGTGTGAAAGATCAGAAGATCTGCGAAAGCAAAAAATTGAAGTTCTACTTGAGAAGTTCAAGAACTTCAACATGCCTCCCGGAGAAACATTCGAATTGTTAGATGAAAGATTCCACAAGATCTTGAATGATCTTGCATCACTCAACCACGTTTAACAATGTATGTGCAACAACATCGATGTTCTTGATAAGTCCGTTTCGTTCTTATCATTTACATCATATTCTACACGTTCTTTCCCATAAATAGTATTTAATCATCTCATAAAATGTGTTTTTAATGAATAAAACTCTCATTTTTGTTCAAAGAGTCATAAAAACGGATTCCACATGAAATAATCATAAATAATCCATTTTATGTTCAAATACTCGAGAAAAGGAGAAGGAATAATCAAGGGATCAAGATTCGGGCTTAAACGAGTTTCTAGCAGGTCAAAAACAGTGATCGGGAGCAAAATAATTCAATTCGGGGCAAAAACTTGGCCCAAAGTTGCAAAGGATCGCGAAGGAGGTGATAGGCTTAGGATTCGGGTCCTTGGCATCCAAAGTTGGACCCCCAAGCTTCGGAGGTGACATGGCTCTGCCACGTGGCGATCAGCAACTAGTTCGAACACGTAATATAGGTTCTAGCGTCCAAAGTTGGACGCTAGAGGAGTTGGACACCCAAGCAACAAGGGAAGACATGGATTTGCCACGTGGCGCGACGCTAATGGACGGAACACGTAATTCAGGTACGGCCATCCAAAGTTGGACGCCCAGAGGGGTTGGACGCCCGTACTCCGTATCCTATATATACAACGCGATTTTTATACCATTCACAGGAATTCTCAACCTAATTTCGGGTTCCACTCTCCCAATACTTTGTATATTAGTTTTAGTAGTAGTTTTAAAGTATTTTCGGAGGTTTTGACTTCTATTCTGCTTATACGGAAGCTGTAAGTTTTCTTTATTTAATAAAATGTTGTTTTAATTTATGTTTGCATAGTATGAGTTAGGGTCCAGACCTCTGGGTCCGGACTAGTTTGGCTGTATACTTGATTGTTAAATTAATGTTGGAATGATTAGTCTATTGTTCTTGCTATATTTAGTTAATTAATATCGTAAGATTTAATTAGCTATTTATTGAGGAAATATTATATGTCGAAAGACTATCATATTTAAGGCAACAAAATAAGTACAAAACCTAGAAATAGGTAACTAATAATAGAAATATTATTATTCCAATTATTAATTAAATATGATAAAGTAGATCCAAATGATGTTCTGACCCTAGGTCCAGATCTACACTTATACTATGTGAAATTTATTTATTATTGTTACTCTGCTCTATTTAATATCGTTCCAAGAAGACTTTCGTAAACCTATCTTAACCTTCGCCTAATTAGAGAAATTAACTAATTCCCTTCGACCACTCCTCGAGAGACACGACACTCGGAGAGAAAACTAACCCTTTACTAGGTCTCACGAGCATTAACGATATCCCACTCTCGTTAATACTTTGACAATAGACCGTCCAAAATTATACTAAGTGACAAAATGTCACTCTCAACATTAGAAGACTCTATATGATAAAAATCTCAGAAGTAATTCTATGAATGTAATAATCGTTTACATGAACATGAGATGTGGGTAAACATATTACATATGCATTTGTTCATGACAATACAACCATAACATGATTCGCCACAACTCTAACACTGACGACGCTCTTGAAGATGCTACATAGGAACCTTATGATCTCATACAATAGCGATATCCCTCTCTCCCCCTAGAGGACAAGGTTCAATATCTAGAACGGGAGAATGACACGTCAAGTGTAGCGAGGAGGGATAGCGGGGGAGCAACCAAAAAAGAGGGTAAAGTAGTCTCGGAGGCGAGGAGGGTGCGGAAGGCACCAATGTGGCACGACGAGTATGTCACCAAATGACTTATGATTTTATTATGTAATGGATTTTATTAGATGAGAAAAATGAAAGTTCCTTTAAGGGTTTTCTCATGGTTCTTTAGCTCTTCGCTTTTCTTGAATCGCAAAAGTAGAAAACTCTAGTTTCAGTAGGATTATGGTTTCTCTACTCTATAAATAGAGACGTACCCTCTGTTTTAAAATCATAAAAAAATAAACCTAAATTTCTCTCCTTCTCTTTCTCTTCTTAGGAAGTTGAAAACATTTGAAGTTCTTCCCTATCAGTTATCTTTTTTATTTCTCTTCCACTCATGTCCATTGTGTCATGCTTTCTCTCACTTTTATTAATTTAGTTTCTTGATAACTTTTAACGTGAAATTACCTGTAAAAAATATTATATCTTTTTAAAAAATTATATTATATTCAAAATATTCCCTCCGTCCCAGAGTATTTGTCTAGTTCGACTTTTTTGAGTCAAACTGAATAAACTTTAATCATCAATTGCTCTCAATATGTATTGCATATTAGTACAATGGAATTTTGTTAGAAAGTTCTTAACAAGTTAGATGTATTAAAATCATTTTTATACTAATATAGATTATAGTTTTTACTTAATTAGGACTCAAAATGTATCCAATTTGACTTGGAAAAGTCAAATTAGATAAATACTCTGAGACGGAGGTAGTAGAGAATATCAATAAAAATTTGTTTTCTTTACTCCTACTATGTTTATAATATTGGTTAACACATACTTCCTCTGCCTGGTATTAAAGTTTACGTTTTGACTTTTGGTCATTTTTAAGGGAGGTTGACTAACCCTGTGAAATGACCAAAATACCCCTTTCCAGTCTCCTACTGCCCAGACGGCTCAAAATCGGAAAATAGCCCATAGGCCGCCGCGCTTCTCCCGCCCCTCCGCCTCCAGATCTTCGGCACCGGTCTCCACGGATGGGCCCAAAGCCAGAGCCAATCTCCACGGATCTTCGGCATCACCGTCGAGGATGTTATAAACCTCCCTGTCGAAGAACCCTGGAAGCTTCCTCTCCCTCTTCAAATCATTCCTCACCCAAAACCGCCACCCACTTCGGCTCAACCTGAGCCGACCCGGATTCCAGCCCGGCCGTCCGACCCCTCCTAACCCGGCTCTCCACCAAGGAAGCCGCGACGTCTTGGCACCATCTCGTCCTCAATTGGGGGTGGGGGGGAGAAAGAACAGAGGAAGGGTCGAGAGAAAGAAAAGAAGAAGAAAAGCAAGAAGAAGAAGAGGAGGGAGGGGGAGAAAGAGGATTGAAAATGTATAGATTGCGGATGGGATAAGGAAAAGAAGAAAAGAGGACCTAAGGAAGAAGAGGAAGGGGGAGGGAGGAGAGGGAGAGAGAAGATTGAAATGGTAGAGAAGGGTATTTTTGGAAGAGTGTGGGTTAAAATTAGAAATGTAAACTTTATTTTCGGACGGAGAAAAAGGAGAAACGTAAACTTTATTTCCGGACGGAGGGAGTAGTATAAATTAAGAAGCCAAAAATTATATTCTCAACAGCGGAGGATCTATGAAAATATGCCATGTAGGGTAACGTGGTGAGTGCAGTCGTGGAGTGTATTGGCACCAGGGCACTTTCCCCCAGTGAATTTTAAAAAAATAATTAGTAGCTTTATTATGGAGTACTTTTTATATATATAAAAATAGCACTAGTGCCTGCATCAAAAATTTTATATCCCCCCATTAGCCTTTTACAATCTCAAAAAAAGGCCAAAACATTTTAACACTTTAATTAATGATTAGTTTTAGTAATCTATTTATGCATAATTTTTTAATTTAAGTGTCTATTTACTTAGTTATAGATCATGCACCAAGAGGTGGTTGAGCTCATGGGTTCAAACCCCACCACCTACTAAGAGGCTTTTGACCTTAATCCAAAAATCTTATCGATTATAATTAGTTGGGTTTCACCAAAGGCGGCTCCAGAACACATGTGGTCTTACCAAAAAAATTATTCTTAGTGATTTACGATATTGTGATAAAATTTAACACTATACCCCCTCCGTCCCTCTTTATTTGTCCACTTTCAAAGTGGCACAAATACCAAGATCAAGAGTAAAGTGACCCAATTGCCCTAGACTAACCAACTTTCCTCAACCGTGCCAGGCTCCCAAGATTCTTCATCTTCCGCGTCCACTGTGTATCAATCGCCAATATCCCACTCCCCAACTTCCAGCCCCATATCCAATCGTAGCAGCCTTTGATACACCACTAAATACGACAGATTGTCAAGAAATTTCCAACAATGATCTTGCGTTGCACAAATCTATGGAAAAAGAAAGGTTTATTGCTCAGAACTCCAGAAGAGGAGACTCAAACAAGGAGAGAGAAGAAGATCGAGGGAATAGAAGGAATGAGAGAGAGAGAGCAGGAATTGAAAAAGATTGGGTGGAAGAGATCAGAGAAAGAATTGGAGAAAAAGATGCAGTCGGGAGAGGGGGAATTAGAGAAGAACAGTGGGAGGATAGGATGGAAGGGAGAGAAGGAAACACAAGAAGAAGGAAAAGAGAAGCAGAAAAAGAGGACTGGGAAGAAAAGGGATGAAATTAGAAGAGGAAGGAAACGGAGAACACAACTGAATTTACTTGAAAACGAGGATTGAAGATGAGGGCATAATAGACGTTTTATGTTATTTTAGTTTCTATTTAAGGAAAGTAGACAAATACTATGAGACAATCCAAAAAGTGTTGTATTTAGGTGCCCTAGCGGCAATCAAATACCTATGTAACTGTACACTTTGTCATGAATGAAAGGCCTTGAAGTATGTTTTATATCTCGTGTAACATAACATAGCTTCAGCCCATAGACGATAGCGCTTCAGTAACATAGATGAGGACTACGATGTTCTGATTATGAGACTGTTACTTCTTGACGAAGGCTATGTCTAGAATATCCCTAGTCGCACTTTACGATAATACGGACGACATAACGTATCAAGATTAGTACGTACGAGATGAGATAGTTGCGTCTCATAGACTATAGGTACTGTGATATCTTAATCTGTACGTAGGTGCATATTATATTGATAATATGTGACTGGATTGACCCATCTTGAGAATACTGCATGGATCTACAGTAATGTGTTTATCAGTATTCTCAAATCGACCTTGTTATAACTATCCTCAGACTTGAAGTTATTACATTCTCTGATATGTGGGGCCGTATGCTTTGATTCATAACTAATGCTATCTGAAATACTAGTAGACGTACAGTTATGCGTTGGGTATGCCGCTAAGCATATTTAGAGATGTGAATAACAGATACAGGATCTGTCCCTTCTACTGTATAGAAGTATAATGTCAATGGGCCCACTGAATAGTAGGACTTGGGAAAGTGCATGGCCATGCCCAGATATGTCGCTATCTAGAGACTGATAAATATCTGATCCNCCAATTTCATGAATTCAACACAAACATCCACAATACTCAGTCAATCACAAGATTATACGCTAAGGTAGTTCTAATCTACGAATTAACGCTAACGAAAGGTATAGAAACCACGAATCACCTCGAATTATTGAAGAATTAGGAACCAAATCGAAAGAGAGAAGCTCGCCGCTGCACTCCCTGCTGCAGCCGAATCTACCGTGCGACGGGGAAGGAAGAGCGGCGACGGCGGCTGCGACGTTCGGCGAAGGCGGCGTCGGCGGAGCTCGGCGGCGCTGCTGCTGGCGGGCGAGACGGCGAGGGTGAACGGAAGTCAAGCGCAAAGGAACAGACGAGAAACGTAGGAGGAATGGAGAGTGTCTGTTTCTTCGTAACCCCTCCTATATTTAATATGAGAATTTATTAAATTTGGGGTCCAGTTTACACTTTCGAACCAGTTAGGATGTATTTAAGCCCAATTACCTTATTCGGTAGTCATATCTTGGGCCTAGTAGGTCCAATTCTCAATCCGTTCACGCGGTCGGGTTCAGAACATCGAGCCCTACAACGTAGGTCAACTCTCATATTAAATACGTAAATTAGAAAATAATCTTCATTTTGACCAACTTAGTAATTAATTAATTATATAAATTAATTAAAAATACCAAGCCGGGTTTTGGGGCGTTACATTTCTCTCCCCCTTAAAAGAATTTCGTCCTCGAAATTACCTGAATCATCATTGCAGAAGAGGTGAGGATACTGAACTCTCATGGACTCTTCGGTCTCCCACGTAGCCTCTTCGACAGCATGGTTACGCCACAAGACTTTGACTAGAGGCACCCGCTTATTCCTCAACTCTTTCACTTCTCGTGCTAGAATCTGCACCGGCTCCTCCTCATAGGTCAAGTTCTCGTCCAGAGTCACTGCGCCTTCAGGTAACCGATGCGTCGGATCTGATCGATAACGTCGGAGCATAGACACATGAAACACATTGTGAATCTTGCTCAGTTCAGGTGGTAGCTCCAACTGATAAGCTACAGGGCCAACCTTCGCAGTGATGGGATAAGGCCCAATGAAACGGGGACTCAATTTTCCTCTCTTTCCAAATCGTAGAACCTTTTTCCAAGGTGACACCTTAAGAAAAACCTTATCCCCCACTTCGAAAGAAATCTCTCGACGCTTCAAGTCCGCATAAGATTTTTGCCTATCTGATGCTGTCTGCAACCGCTCGCGGATCAACCGTACCTTTTCTTCTGTCTCACAAACAAGATCGAGACCTTCTAACCTTGCCTCGCTCAATTCAGTCCAACACACTGGTGTTCTACACCTCCTCCCGTACAGTGCCTCGTAAGGGGCCATCTGAATACTCGCCTGATAACTATTATTATATGCAAACTCCATCAATGGCAAGTATCGCTCCCAATTATCCCCAAAATCGATCACACACGCTCTCATCATGTCCTCAAGTATCTGTATTACGCGCTCAGATTGACCGTCAGTCTGAGGGTGATAGGCTGTGCTCAAGTTTAACTTTGTACCCAAGGCTTGCTGGAGTCCCTTCCGGAACTTTGAAGTGAAACGAGGATCTCTGTCGGAGATAATGGACACAGGTACCCCATGCAACCGAACAATCTCCCGGAGGTACAACTCCGCTAACTTTTGTAGTGGCATATCCCGTCGAACAGGAAGGAAATGCGCAGATTTCGTAAGACGATCTACGATGACCCATACAGCATCATTCTTACGGGGAGACAAGGGCAGCCCAATCACGAAATTCATCGTGATACGCTCCCACTTCCACTCAGGAATAGAAGGCGGATGCAACAATCCCGATGGTACTTGATGTTCGGCTTTGACCTGCTGACATGTCAAGCACCGAGCTGTAAACTCACAAATTTCCTTCTTCATCACAGGCCACCAATAGTTCCCCTTTAAGTCGTGGTACATCTTGTTACTTCCTGGATGTATAGTGTATGCTGACTCGTGAGCCTCACGTAACAGCCGCTCTCTCACGGCCCCGCATGGTACCACAAGACGGTTGCGGAAAAACAAGATTCCATCAGCACCAATAGTAAACTCAGGTCTCTTCCCACTAGAGACAAGGTCCCGTGTGATGCGACAAAACTCGTCATCCACCTGAGCATTCCGGATTTCCGCATCTAACGTTGGTTGTATATGGAGTTCAGCTAACAGCTTGCGGCTCAAGGCGTCAGCCACCACATTAGCCTTGCCCGGGTGATACTCGATGGTGAAATCGTAGTCCTTTAGAAGTTCTAACCAGCGCCTCTGCCTTAGGTTCAGATCCTTCTGGGTCAACAAGTACCTCAAACTCTTATGATCAGTATATATAAGAATCTTTTCACCGAAGACATAGTGTCGCCAGATTTTCAAGGCAAAAACAACTGCTGCTAACTCCAAGTCATGAGTCGGATAATTACCCTCATGGGGTTTCAGCTGCCTCGAGGCATAGGCAACCACCTTACCATCTTGCATGAGTACACAACCCAATCCACAAAGAGATGCATCACTATAGATTGTGTACTCACGTCCTGGTTCTGGCTGGATCAGCACTGGGGCTTTAGTCAAACACCCTTTCAGCCGATCAAAACTACTCTGGCACGCGTCTGTCCATGCAAACCTCACGTCCTTCCGTAGGAGTTTAGTAAGAGGGGAAGTAAGCGTAGAGAAGTCTTTCACGAACCGCCGGTAGTACCCCGCTAGTCCGAGAAAACTTCTCACTTCCCTAGCATTACGGGGAACCTTCCAATAAACAATGGCAGAAATCTTACTCGGGTCAACCTTCACCCCTTTGGCGGAGATCACGTGACCTAAGAAAGTCACCTCCTCAAGCCAAAATTCACACTTGGACAACTTTGCATAGAGTTTCTGCTCCCTCAGGATGGTTAATACCTTTTGCAAGTGGCACGCATGTTCCTCGGCATTCCTTGAGTAAACGAGGATGCCATCAATGAAGACCACGACAAATTGATCCAAGTACAGCCAAAAGACACTATTCATTAGATCCATAAAGATAGCAGGACCATTAGTGAGTCCAAAAGGCATTACGGTGAATTCAAAATGTCCGTAACGCGTCCTGAAAGCTGTCTTCGGTATGTCTTCCTTCTTTACTGGAATCTGATGATATCCAGACCTTAAGTCAATCTTCGAGAACACCCTTGCTCCACGTAGCTGATCAAACAAATCATCAATGCGCGGTAATGGATAACGGTTTTTAACCGTCACCTTATTGAGCTGCCGGTAGTCAATGCAAAGCCTCAGAGACCCGTCCTTCTTCCGCACAAAAAGGACAGGCATGCCCCAAGGGGAGACACTTGGGCGGATGAATCCCCTATCCAGCAGCTCCTGTAACTGCGCCTTTAACTCCTTCATCTCTACTGGAGCCATGCGATAGGGGGTGGCCGAAATGGGTTCCGTACCCGGAACTAAGTCAATGGAGAATTCTACCTCCCTTGGGGGAGGCAGACCTGGTAGCTCGTCAGGAAACACGTCAGGAAAATCACGTACGGAAAGAATATCCTTAAGGCTAGGAGGCTCCTTCCGTACATCTTTTACGGTGCATAGGAACGCCTCGCATTTCTTTCGAATCAATCTCTTGGCTTGCATATAAGAGATAAACTCAGGCGCCTTGGGAAATAACTCCCCATCGATCATGATTGTGTCTCCGTCCTGTGCTCTCAACCGTACGATCCTTGATCTGCAATCTACGACTGCCTGGTGCTCAGTAAGCCAATCCATTCCAAGGATAATGTCAAATTCCTTGTATGGAAGTTCGATAAGATCTGCGGGAAAGATCTTCCCATGCGCGGTCAAAGGACATTGTCGGTAGACGTGATGTAGGCTCATACTGTGCCCAAGGGGATTGGACACCAGCATCGGACTCTCCAACTGACCTCTCGCGACAACAGAATTAGCAGGCAAAGGAACACATATATATGATAGTGTAGACCCAGGTTCAATCAACGCCAACAAATCCGAACCAAAGAGTGTGAACATACCAAGTATGACGTCAGGATTAGGATCGGCACGCCCTTGCATAGCGTACGTCCTCGCTGGAGCCCTGCCTTGCTGATGTGGTGCAGCCTGAGGCTGCCGCTGTTGCGGGGGCCGCTGCGGCTGTGACCCGGCTGTCGAACGCTGACTCTGGGCAGGTCGAGGAGCCGTTGTCTGGGTGGATGCTGCAGCCGTAGGGAATGGAAGACCAGGATTAGTAGGACAATCCCTCCTGAAATGTCCAGACTGTCCGCATCCCATGCACAACCCTAAAGTCCTCCAACACTCCCCTGGATGGTTCCTTCCACAAGATTCACACATCGAATGCTTTGATGGCCTTGTCTTGCTGCTCGATGCCACTGAGTGAGCTGGTCCTGACTTGGCTTTCTTGGACGACTGAACACCAGACCCACTCAAAAGTCTCTTCCCCGAATAGGCCTTACCAGCACTGGCTACCTGCACCGGCATCTTATTCGCCTTCTGCTCCGCTATCAGCTTCGCTCCCTCTCTGGTCCTGACCACCTCCTTAGCTTGCTCATACATGACGCCAAAGTCTTGCCTGGACGCCGTAGACATACCCTCCTGGAGGTTCATGCGCATGCCCTTAACAAAACTATCACAGCGTCTCTTTGGAGTATTCACCAGATCTTGAGCAAACTCTGCCAGGTGGTCAAAGAGCTGACGGTATTCTGGAAGGCTCATGGTCCCCATCTCCAAGCGCACAAATTCCTCTCGTTTTTCCTCGACAAAAGACTCTGGAATGTACTCCTCCCTGAACACGCGATCGAAATACTCCCACGTCAACTGGGTAGGGTGGTCGGCATTGCGCGTGGTGCGTTTCCACCACTCATACGCATTGTTCTGCAGCAACATCACAGCGAGATCAGCCCACTCACCCATGGGGACCTTCAAGTTCTCGAACACGCGGCGTACGAGCTCCAGCCACCGGAAAGCTACCAACGGATCAGCGATGTTCTCACCGAGGAACTCTTCAGCACCATTCTTCCTCAATTTCTCCAAAGTAATCCTTGGCTCAGGCTGTCTAGCCAATGTATTCTGATTCATGATCAGCATTTGTTGCATGAGCTGCATCACGAGAGCAGGATCCATCTGTGGGATCCCAGCGAGTCCACCGTGCGGGGCTTCCTGATGAGGAACATTCTGGTTCTGGTTCGCATTAAGTTGCTGGGGAGACACGCTATCTCCCTCGGAGTGGTTGCCGTTGAGGTTCACGTTCGGGTCCATTCTACAATTTATGATTTTACTAAATTAAGCAACAATTAACAAACAAGTACTTAAGAAATTACCACCCGGAACAGTGACACGGTGAAGCTGTGGATGCTCATCACATATGTATATATACAATATGTGTTAAAATAGTAGTTTTTTTTTCAAAAATTCGTAACTTTATTTTTTTTTTGAAATTGATAACATTCTTTCTTATAAACAAAAAGTAACGTGGATGCTCTTTTTTTTTTGAAATTTATCTAAGTAACAACCATTCGTGGCCCAAAAATCGTTTTTAAAACCACATGCTCTGATACCAAAATGTAACACCCCAACCCGCGTGACCCGAACGACCGGGTTAGCGAACCGGGTTGTCACTAAATTGGTATTCGCATGCATAATATATACTTTTTTTCTAAAATAACCATTAAATAAATTATAAAATTCATCCGTGAGAGTTCAAACAAAACCAAAATTTATCAGAATAATAAACAAGTCTAAACGTCGCGGAAACATAGTAAAACCAGAGTAACGTCCAACAGTCCATGTAATTAATTAAAATACTGTAGTTTAATTATTAAAGTAAATAAGAGCCATCCACGCCACACCACCACTTCACTGCCCTCCGGGTTGCCCATCAAAATCAGTGTTCCTACCTGCGTGCAGTCAAACAACAACGACTACACGCTCAGCGAATTGCTGAGTGAAAATATACCTAAGCTAGCATTAACTCACAGAATAGCACCACATTAAAATACAATCACAACAGCAAGAGGTCACGAAGAAAAGGACATACCCTAAATAAACATATTTATTTTAACACCTTCTATTTGAACATCATATCCTTATTTTATTCCACATCAACTACTTTGAGTCATGGCACCCCAAGTGATGCTATAAAAGGGCCAGCTCAGAAACCCAAAGGAGATTCACTTTGGGCGGGTTGAAGCCCCTATCCCTGCGATGCCAGGACAGGTCGCGGACTTCCGTACGTACGTTTTTAACCCAAGACCACCGGGGGGTGCGACGACGCCCCGCAAAGGCCAACTTCCTAACCATATCCTATTGGTGATTCAAACAGTCAATCCAATTCAGGTCTGCCTAATTATACCTGGTGGCCTACTTCTCATATTTTATTCATAATCCACAATCTTCACCAATAAGATCAATTCAAATTAAATCTCAATTCACAATTCACAACAAAACACGTAGCGGCCTATCCAGGCCAAAGACCCATGATTACCGTCATGCACAATCATACAAACCCAAATCACAATCAACCCAACTTACCTGCGCGAATTCGAGCCCAAAGAATCGATCCTCGGGCCCGCTGCCCCCGCTAGAGCAGTCCCCATAGTCACCGGTCCAACCCCGGCACCACTGCCGGTAGCCGACCCGGCTGCCCGAGCCCGGAGCTCGACCAAACAGCCCTATTGGGTGATTCACAGCAACCCGGACAGCCTATCAATTAGCCGAGACAGTCCAATCAAACCCAATTGCACCCAATTGAATCTGAATAGACCAATTAAACCCGATTGAACCCGTTTGGACCCAATTGGTCCAAACAGAGCTTCTGCCCAGTTCCGGTCAAGCTTTCCGCCGACGTAGCCGGCGGGTCGCCGGAGAAGACGCTGGAAAACAGAACCCAAACCCCAATTTCATGAATTCAACACAAACATCCACAATACTCAGTCAATCACAAGATTATACGCTAAGGTAGTTCTAATCTACGAATTAACGCTAACGAAAGGTATAGAAACCACGAATCACCTCGAATTATTGAAGAATTAGGAACCAAATCGAAAGAGAGAAGCTCGCCGCTGCACTCCCTGCTGCAGCCGAATCTACCGTGCGACGGGGAAGGAAGAGCGGCGACGGCGGCGACGGCGGAGCTCGGCGGCGCTGCTGCTGGCGGGCGAGACGGCGAGGGTGAACGGAAGTCAAGCGCAGAGGAACAGACGAGAAACGTAGGAGGAATGGAGAGTGTCTGTTTCTTCGTAACCCCTCCTATATTTAATATGAGAATTTATTAAATTTGGGGTCCAGTTTACACTTTCGAACCAGTTAGGATGTATTTAAGCCCAATTACCTTATTCGGTAGTCATATCTTGGGCCTAGTAGGTCCAATTCTCAATTCGTTCACGCGATCGGGTTTAGAACATCGAGCCCTACAACGTAGGTCAACTCTCATATTAAATACGTAAATTAGAAAATAATCTTCATTTTGACCAACTTAGTAATTAATTAATTATATAAATTAATTAAAAATACCAAGCCGGGTTTTGGGGCGTTACATGCCTAGTGGTCTAATGTTGGAATTAAATGATTGCTTGTACGTTCCTGCAATTAGCAGAAACATTATTTCTGTTTCATGTCTTGATAAGAGTGGTTTCATCATTTCTATTAAAGACAAGTCCCTTTCCGTTTACAGAAAGAATGTTTTCTATGCTAATGGCAACATGACCAATGGGTTATATGTCCTTGACTTGGACATGCCTGTCTATAACATATCAGCCAAGAGGAACAAACCGAACGGTTTGAACCAAACATACCTATGGCATTGCAGGTTAGGCCATATAAACGAGAAACGCATATCCAAGCTACATCGGTCGGGAATGCTGGAGTCATTTGATCTTGAATCATATGACACATGCGAATCTTGTTTATTGGGTAAGATGACCAAATCTCCTTTCACCGGACACGGTGAAAGAGCTGGTGATCTTCTGGCACTCATTCATAGTGATGTGTGCGGGCCTTTCACTACAACTGCACGAGGTGGTTATTCATACTTCATCACTTTTACTGATGACCTCAGTAGATATGGCTATGTGTATCTCATGAAACACAACTCAGAATCCTTTGAAATGTTCAAAGAATTCAGGAATGAAGTTGAAAAACAACTTGGCAAAAGTATTAAAACACTACGATCCGATCGAGGTGGAGAATACTTAAGTGGTGAGTTCGATGACTATATTAGAGAGCATGGGATTTTATCCAACCTCACACCTCCTGGGACTCCACAATGGAATGGTGTCTCTGAAAGGAGGAATCGAACCCTGCTTGACATGGTTCGTTCTATGATGGGTCATTCGACTCTACCAGAAACATTTTGGGGGTATGCGCTGAGCACTGCAATATATACTCTTAACCGAGTTCCAACCAAGGCGGTTGAAGGAACACCATACCAGCTATGGACGGGCAAATGCCCAGTTCTGTCACACTTAAAGATTTGGGGCTGTGAGGCTTATGTCAAACGTCTTTTGACGAATGGCAAGCTTGACGCCAAGTCTGATAAGTGTTTCTTCGTGGGATATCCAAAGGAAACTCGAGGGTATTCATTCTATCACCCTATCGATAAGAAGGTATTCGTTGCTCGCAATGGTGTCTTCCTCGAGAAGGAATTTCTCTCCATCGCAACTAGCGGGAGAAAGATAGAGCTCGAACAAATTCGAGACGACGAAGAAACTACCGCACCGGTTCTGGAACATGAGCTAGAGGAACAAACTATTGTACCTCAAAATGCTCAAGATACACAAGAACCTCGTAGGTCTAACCGGTTACGCACACAACCTGAAAGGTATGGATTCCTCCTAACCTTTGAGGGTGACGTAATGCTTATCGACCAGGATGAGCCGGAGACCTACCTCGAGGCAATCAGTTGTCCCGAGGCTGAGGAATGGCGTTAAGCCATGCAGTCCGAAATGGATTCCATGTACACCAACCAAGTATGGACTTTGGTTGATGCACCCGAAGGGATCAAACCCATTGGGTGCAAATGGGTCTTCAAAAAGAAGACTGACATGGATGGTAAGGTGCAAACCTTTAAGGCACGATTGGTAGCAAAAGGATATCGTCAAATACATGGTATCGACTATGACGAAACTTTTTCTCCAGTTGTCATGATTAAATCCATTCGGATCTTACTTGCTATCGCAGCATACCATGATTACGAAATCTAGCAGATGGACGTCAAAACGGCTTTCCTTAATGGAAACCTCCTTGAGGATGTCTTTATGACACAACCTGAAGGGTTTTGCGCTCCTGAAGAATCTACCAAGGTATGCAAGTTGCAGCGATCAATCTACGGATTGAAGCAAGCCTCACGGAGTTGGAACATCCGCTTTCACGAAACTGTCATCAGCTTTGGTTTTGAAAGAAATTCGGATGAATCTTGTGTATACAAGAAGGTCAGTGGGAGTGCTGTAGTCTTCCTTGCTCTGTATGTTGATGACATACTGCTCATAGGAAACGATATTCCTACTTTAACCACCGTCAAAACGTGGTTGAGTAAGAGTTTTTCTATGAAGGACTTGGGAGATGCCAGTTATGCACTTGGCATAAGGATCTATAGAGATAGATCACGGAAGCTGTTAGGTCTCAGTCAAAGTACATACATAGACAAGGTCCTTGCTAGATTCAGCATGTCTGAGTCGAAACGAGGAAGTTTGCCTATGGCCCAAGGCACGAGTCTTTCCAAGACTCAGGGTGCTTCCACTCCGAAGGAAGTAGAACGCATGAGAAATGTTCCTTATGCGTCGGCCATTGGATCCATCATGTATGCGATGGTATGTACGAGACCTGATGTCGCCTTTGCTCTGAGTGTCACGAGTAGATAGCAGTCCAACCCTGGCGAAAGCCCTTGGACGGCTGTGAAGAACATCCTTAAATACTTCCGTAGGACTAAGGATGCCTTCCTGGTATATGGCGGAAAAGAAGAGCTCAGTATTGTTGGATATACTGATGCCAGCTTCCAAACTGATAGAAATGACTTCAAGTCGCAGGCAGGGTATGTGTTTTGTTTGAATTGCGGAGCTGTTACCTAGAAGAGTTACAAGCAAGATACTACCGCTGATTCCACTACAGAAGCAGAGTACATGGCTGCAGCCGAGGCAGCCAAGGAAGGTGTGTGGCTCAAGAATTTTATTACTGAGCTTGGAGTGGTTCCTAGCATCAAGAACCCTCTACCGTTGTTTTGCGACAATAATGGGGCAATTGCACAAGCGAAAGAACCTCGGTCTCACCAGAAGACCAAACACATCGTTAGACGTTATCACATCATACGAGAAATCATTGCACGTGGGGACGTTGAGATTTGCAAGATAGGTACAGACGACAATATCGCGGATCCGTTGACGAAGGCTTTGGGAAAGCCTAAACACGAGAGTCATACGTGGTCCATGGGCATTCGAGAAATGCTTGATTAGCCTTAGGGCAAGTGGGAGATTGTTGTATTTAGGTGCCCTAGCGGCAATCAAATACCTATGTAACTGTACACTTTATCATGAATGAAAGGCCTTGAAGTATGTTTTATATCTCGTGTAACATAACATAGCTTCAGCCCATAGACGATAGCGCTTCAGTAACATAGATGAGGACTACGATGTTCTGATTATGAGACTGTTACTTCTTGACGAAGGCTATGTCTAGAATATCCCTAGTCACACTTTATGATAATACGGACGTCATAACGTATCAAGATTAGTACGTACGAGATGAGATAGTTGCGTCTCATAGACTATAGGTATTGTGATATCTTAATCTGTACGTAGGTGCATATTATATTGATAATATGTGACTGGATTGACCCATCTTGAGAATACTGCATGGATCTACAGTAATGTGTTTATCAGTATTCTCAAATTGACCTTGCTATAACTATCCTCAGACTTGAAGTTATTACATTCTCTGATATGTGGGGCCGTATGCTTTGATTCATAACTAATGCTATCTGAAATACTGGTAGACGTACAGTTATGTGTTGGGTATGCCGCTAAGCATATTTAGAGATGTGAATAACAGATACAGGATCTGTCCCTTCTACTGTATAGAAGTATAATGTCAATGGGCCCACTGAATAGTAGGACTTGGGAAAGTGCATGGCNAGACTGATAAATATCTGATCCCTGCCAGTCTACTTGAGATTCAGTAACAGCTGATTTAACTATACAAGGATACACATCCCATGCCTTGTGTTAAATCATGACATATAGGACAGAAGGATAATAGTTATAGAACGTCTTGTGTCGTAGAAGGTATTGATGAGATGAACGTCTTTTTCATAATCTGGGGATAATAATGTGTTGCTAGATACCGCTTATTATCTATGGTATTAATTTATATTTATATCATTGCCAGTGTTATGGATACCTAAAGGGTCACACACTTAGGACTTGTAAGGGAGTAGTATACTACACTAGTGGGAGTAATATTAAATATATAGTTGTGATAATTTTATATATGTATGTATTTCGAAAATACATATGTATTTCAAAATTATATTTTGTTTGTGTCATTTTAATTATATGATAATTATATTTTGACAAAACAAATTTTTATTATATATATATATATGTAGCGCCGAATGTGTGTGTATATATATATATATATTATTTTATTTTTCATCATTTTAATTATATGATAATTATTGATGTCAAAAATAAAATATGATATACTTTAATATGTGATGGCCGAAGATTTCAAGAGGAAAATCCAAGACCATTTTGATTTTATACATAAAGTATTTTTTAATGTCAAATTGATATATTTGATTATTATTTGATGTAGGGATTCTATTTTGTTTGGTAGCTAAGATATTAAACATTTACACATGGTGTTAAGACATATAAATGGACTTATGCTTAACATTAATTTCCTAGCAATTTCCTAAATATACTTTATTATAAAATGAGGTCTTGATTTTGAAAAAAAACTACAATTTTTTCGGCCATTCCATTTTAGAGAGAAGAAAATTTTATTTTGTGTTCAAAGTTATTTTCTAATGTGTTAGAAATATACACAAAATATTATAAAGAAATATATATAAGATAAATATTTTTACTATATATTTATTACTCCCAAAGTAGTATTATTATAGTTTTTACTATCCTAAATTAAACCTGCTAGCACAAGTTTAATCTAAGACTCCGGAGCAAGTTCGTGTGGATACGTTGGAGGCTTCATACGTTTGGCGCTACGTTCATCTCCTCAAAACCATCCCCGACCGTTCCTCTGTTCTCCGTTTTCACCGTTAAGGTAAATTTCTTACTATAGCTAGTAATTTACGTAAGTTGTTCTTGGGTGGAATCGAGTTTTGGACTATAAGTTTTTGTTTTCCGCTGCGTTATCCAAGCCTCGTTTCCCAACAAAAAGGAATACTGGATGAATACTACGGAACGGAGGGAGTATTTGTCATTTCACATTGTCTTCCAAAAAAATCTATGGGCACTGACCTGAGACCGTGCTAAATTCTCGCCCACGATCCTTCAATGTTACTATATTTTACATTCCTACCCTATTTAGGATTCTTATATAATAATCTGTATATATACTCCTTGAAAATTTATTATTTAATAAGATCCATATTTTATATATTATACTCCCTCCGTCTCGGAAAACATGAGAGTTTTTATTTTGAAGAGTGATTTAAGGGGAGTGTATTTTGGTATTGAATTTCCAAAAATATCCTTTGATGTGATGTGTAAAAGTATGATTTGATGGATAGATTATTAGAAAAAAGGTGTGATGTGATAGGTAGGGTATGAAAAAGTAAGGGGTAAAAGTGACTTTTTAATAGAAATGAGAAGTGTTTTTTAGGACGGATGAAAAAAAAAGAAAGGTTTTCAAGGACGGAGGGAGTATATTCTTCTCAATGCGTGCTAATTCTGTCTTTAGGAATGGATGTTTCCAAGTGACTTTTGAATATTATGTTGATTGATGATTATGGTAATGATTATTGATTGATAATTATGATGATTAAATATTAATAAATATTCTGATTAAAAATGATAATTGTGAATGATTAAATCATAATGAATATATTGTTAAGGGTATCTAGAAGACCTCTAAGATATACCTATTTAAGTTAGGCCTTGCGGGTATGAACCCTGGTGGCTAGGGTTAAAACGTACGTACGGGATCCAAGAACCAAACTTGAGTACCTACTCGTTTGGGGGTACCACCCACCCAACAGTAAACACTACGCTGTCGGTTTTTGGTTGGCCATAAGTGAAGGTAAGTTTAAGATTTTCAAAACCCTATTATCTTAAACTAAGCCTAGCTTAAGGATTATTTAGGAATATTTTATACTGAAATATAGTTTAATTATTTAAACTAGAATTCGTGTAAGGGTTGACAAATATTAAAGTGATTGGCCTTAGACTAAGAATAGTTTAAGGATATTGTTGAATGTTGAATATTGAATATTGAATATGAATAAATATTGAATGATGAATATTGAATTGAATATTGCAATTATTATGAATGACTGATGAACATTGAATGTGAATAAAAATGTTGAATAATGAATAATTTTTAATAATTATTGATTATCTGAACTGAATATTATGTGCATGATATCAAATGATTTGATTATGAATTTAGATTCAGTTTATATGGATGTTCGATGCATTAGATATACTTACTCAACTTCAACGCTGAGCGTGTAGTATGTTTTATTTGCTACATGCAGGTTATTAGAAAGAATGAAGTAACGTGGTCCAGGAGGCAGACGGAGGCGAGATTGTCGGAATGAATGTGATGGTTTTGAATTAAAGAACAAAATAAATTATGTTGTAATTATGATTTGGTAAAGCTTCCGCAATATTGAAAACTCCGTACTGTTTATATTATGAAAAATATTATTATGATAAATAAAAGTGTTTGAAATGTTTTAAATTTTTACGATTACCAAGTTAATACTTTAGTCCGAAAGGGGCTGCAGACTTGGACGGATTAGGGAGTTACATTTTGGTATCAGAGCTAATGGTTTTAAACCCGATCTTCGGATCAAAGTCTGATATAAAAATATATATATTATATATTTTGGGTAAAAAAAATTTATCAATCACATCCACAACCCTCGCATCCCTCTGCTCTAGGAAAGGTAATGAGAATTTATTTGATAAATATTGACTATATTAAATTTTCCTTAGATAACAATTGATTGAAACTTAAATCGTATCGAGCGTAGACTCTAGTAAACCTTTCGTACTCGGTGAAGTGACGAAAGAATGAATGAAAAATATATGACCCTCTAATACGTTATTAACGTACGCATCACATCGCGAATGACGAAACTGATCTGCATCACAAATTCGCATGGAAGTTAGATGACTCCGAAGAAACGATTTATGTCGAACAACATTTGTGAAGCTGATGTCAAAGATCTCCATGAGGACTCAACGCGAACCAATTGTTGATGCAAACGAAAACATTTAGAATTAATAAACCCTATCGTTTCTCCGAATCTCTCTTGATTGTTTTCAATCATCGTAACTGTTAGATACCTTCGTGGTATCTGTTATCAACGCACCTACGCAAATAAGGAATCCTAATAAAGAAATTTCTACTATTTGTAGAATGAGTCAAGAAACTACTTGCGGACAAGATAACCAAGTGCAAAACAATGGACACCCAACGGTTCATATTGAGATATCAAATTTCACTCTTGTTGTTCGAAAAGAACCAGACAATCAAAACATCCACCAAGATATTGAAGGTCACTTTAATGCTTATTCAAGTATCAAACCCGATATTAAAGGAAAGAAGCCTTTGATTGGAACTTGTAGTGTCCCACCCTCGAAAAGAAGAAAACCTTTGTTAACTCAACACAAATTGAGAGTGTGGAAACATCCAAAGTGTAACACTTGTAGAAGACATCACCTAGGAGAATGTTGGATGACACAAGGATTATGTATAGGTTGTGGTAAATCTGGGCATTTTCGAAAGGAATGTCCTACAAACCCTTGGAAAACCAATACCAATGGCCCTGTTCAAAGACAGTCTACCTCAGCCCAGCTTGCACCAGCAGGAAATAATCCACAAATAAAATTATGCAGATGCGTATGTAGTGAAAAACCGCGATGAAGACAACTCTAGTGTCATCATTAAAATATTTCCTTATTCAATAATTCAATACAATTATGCATGTATTGATCTTAGGCTTACGGTATCTTATATCTATGTAAACTCCACATTGAATATCTTTCCGTTGAAATTTAAAACTTAAGGATTGCTTAATAAGGAATCATTTGATCAAGTGTTTTCTCTTTGAATACCTATTTTGTTCAAACGTGAATAAGGAAGAATCAATGAGACTATATCAACTACTGTCAGTTGAACAATTCGTTATCCTTTACTTCGTATCATGACTTATTTGATCAGCTTAGAGGATCCATTGTATTCTCTAAGATTGATTTACGGTCAAGATACTATCACATCCCTGTTAAGAATGATGAACAAACTGACGATCAAGAATCGCTACCCTTTACTACGTATAGACGATTTGTTCGAAGAACCTGTTTGTT